GGTTTAAAATAAATTCAGTGTGAAATGAAGAGCAGATCATGAATATTACACAAATTACAAGAAAGTTAAAAACAAATAGACTTGAAAGAGAGCAATACTCTCTTTGAAGTCTGTAGCTATCTTTTGAACCCTTGATTTAAAATCCCATCACAGCTGTTGCTGAAGGGTATGAGATTGTATGTCATGATAAATATTTTACCAATGACGTAAGTGGCACTAAAGTCGAGTCTGTGTTATTCCACATAGTGCTTCCACAGTCAGAGTGTTGGTCATTGTACTTGAGATTAGTCATGATTGTTTTAGAGTGCTAATCATTGTGAAGAATGGAAATAATGGAACAATTCCAAACCATATAACATATTCTTATGCACACATTAGACTAGACCTACTAATGCAATAACTCTCTTTACAACACACTCTCTGATTGGTGTGCAAGATTTTGAAAGCTAAAAATGAGGTAAATGTGTAGTCAATACACTTCAGAGATACAAGGAGCCGGCATCAATACTGTCATAAAATGTTTTAATTGTACCTGTCTAATATCTTGGTTGGCTCCAATAATGATCTGATCCATTGCTGGTGGAGGAATCTTGATGCCTTCTTTAAAAGCAATAGACATCATTGCACCCTGTAACATAATGGGAARTTAATCATGCAGAACAAGGAAACTCCACAACATACCAAAAAGAAGCTAAAAAGAAGAAAAATGAGAAGGAAACAACTGAATGCTTGGACACAATCATTACTCATAATTAATTTTTGAATGGAAATGACTAGATGGAAAAGAGCATAGTTGTTCTCGAAGAAGAATTTGAACATGGATTCCTAGCATGTTTTCTAAGTATAATTTAAAACACGAGAGAGAGAGTGTTTGAAACGGCTTAAAAAACTCCAACACTAATTTGAAACTCAAATCCGTTAAAATTCTTGGAGAAATTGCCGTACAAATATGTATAGAGATAAATGGGGCAAACTGCTCATGCGCGAATCACTTTACAAAGCACTCTTGTCATCCCACATTGAATACGCATAAAGTAAAATAGAAGCGCTCTTGGCTGTTCACTGAAATCGGTTGACATCCTGCATTGGTAAATGATCAGGTTTCAAACCTGAGACCTTTGCTAGGGTTATGGACCTTTATATCTGATAAAGGTCACCCTTATTAGTATTCTAATATAAAGAATACTAATAAGGAGTGTTTTATCAGATATAAAGGTCCATGCATGTGACCAAATAGGCTCATTCTATTGGCCTAGTAGCTCATTAATTATGTATGAGTTTTTTTAAGCATAATTCAAAAGCTGCAACAAAAAAGGCGGCATGTAAACATCACCATCTGCATTTCTTTATTCAATAAAAGTATGCCTTTTTTATCACGAAGGAAATTACCTGCTTATAGGAGGAAAATATACTATAAAACCACATTGAAAGGTACAAACGTGACCACGTAAATGTATGGATACCGGTATCTAAAAACATCTTTCAAAGCATGATAAAGCGTACAGTATCAATGCAACACCAATAATTGTCAATCAAACCTTAATCTGTTCCACACGGGGCCTTTGGAACCTGAGATCAAAGCAGTAGTTCACCAAACTTCTAATTTTCTGACTGTTTCTGTCATTACACATGCAGATAATGGGGATCTTACTTCCTTTAATGAGTGATATTAATTCCTAATAAA